AAACTATGCCTTCCAACAGAAACCACCAGTAGCCTAAAATATGGGATTTTAGCCGCTACAGCCATTACTAAATCAAATTACTATTCTGACCTTATCTGTTCCAATGATGGAAATTCCAAGTCTCTCTTTTCTATAATGCACAAGATCTTTGACCCCCCTGATACCCTGCCTTCTTACATGTATTCTACTCAGACCTGTAATTCTTTGTTAACCTTCTTTAATGAAAAAATCTGCTCTATTCACCAGCAATTACATATGACCGCCTTGCCTCCCACTTCCCCTCCGCCCCTCCCCCGTAGCCAGTCATTCTCCTCCTTCCTACTGCCCACTTCTACTGAAATTTCTGACCTCATTTGAAAATCCAAGTCCTCTACCTGTTCTCTTGACCCCCTCCCCACAGCTCTGGTCAAAACCTGTCTTACTGTACCTCCCTCCTCCCCTTCATTACTTCCATTATTCATTCCTCACTCTCCTCTGTTATTGTTTCTTCACTTTTTAAAACTGCATCTGTCTCCCCGATTCTGAAAAAACCTGGTTCTGATCCCACTAACTTTAATAATCTTTGTCCCATTTCTAATCTTCCTTTTATCTCTAAAATACTTGAAAAAATTGTGTCTGCTCAACTCCACACCTTTCTTACCCTCAACAGCCTTTACGAGCCTTTCCAGTCTGGTTTTCGCCCCTCTCATAGTACTGAAACTGCCCTAATAAAAATCACAAACGATCTCCTTATAGCCGTTGACTCTGGACTCCTCTCCATCCTCATCCTTCTCAATCTCAGTGCGGCCTTTGATACCATTTCTCACCCCATTCTCCTCTTTATCTTTATCTTTATTGTTGTCATTGTCACAAAGAACAACGAATTTTTTTTAAAAAGTGCCATCGATCGATCAGTGCATACGCTTAAAAACAAAAATCACTGTCACCACCATTTACACATAATATAAGAAATAAATAACAATAGCTGATAAAAACACTAATAAGAATAGTACATTCTCACACACATCAATAGATTATCCTCTCTTGGCATCTCTCACATCCCTCTTGACTGGTTCCGCTCAAATCTCTCAGACCACACTTAGTTTATTCAGCTCAAATCTTTCACATCGCACCCTTCCCCTGTCACTTCTGGTGTTCCTCAAGGCTCAGTTCTTGGCCCCCTCCTCTTCATTACCTACCTTCTTCCCCTTGGCAGTATTTTTTGGAAATTCATTTTCACTGTTATGCGGATGACACCCAGCTTTATTTATCCAGTAAACCCTCTTCCTCACTCCCCCCCTTGTCCCTTACTAACT